GCAAAGGAGGGATCTTTTCCCTCTCTGGAATTCCCTGCCAGGAGGGCACAGCCGGGGGATGTCGGGCTGTGCTCCAGGGAACAGGGACAGGAGCAGAGGGAACGGCCTCAGGCTGGGCTGGGGAGGCTCACGGTGGATATTTCGGAGAATTTCCCCGTGGAAAGGGGGCTCAGGGATTGGAACTGCCCAGGGAGGTTTGGGGTGCCCATCCCTGGAGGTGCCCAAGGATTTCCTGGAGGTGGCACTCGGGGCTCTGGGCTGGGGACAAGGTGGGCATCGGGCACAGCTGGGACTCCATGGGCTGGGAGGGCTTTTCCAGCCTAAAGGATTTGAGGATTCTGTGTTTCTGCCCTCAGTGCTGGCTGCTGCTGGAGGGGCTGCTGCATCCCTGGGCTCAGGGAATGCCATACCCTGCTGCAGGATGGCACCCAGGGGTCCAACAGCTGCTCCTTTCCCTTCCAGGGCTCAGGGAGTGCCAGACCCTGCTGCAGGGTGGCACCCAGGGGACCAACAACGGTTCCTCTCCATTGCGGGGCTCAGGGAATGCCAGGCTGTGCTGCAGGATGGCACCCAGGGGTCCAACAACAGTTCCTTTCCATTCCTGGGCTCAGGGAATGCCAAACCCTGCTGCAGGATGGCACCCAGGGGACCAACAACGGTTCCTCTCCATTGCGGGGCTCAGGGAATGCCAGGCTGTGCTGCAGGATGGCACCCAGGGGTCCAACAGCCTCTCCTCTCCCTTGCAGGGCTCGGGATGGATTTCCTGACGCTGTTCCTGCTGTACCTGTGCTCCGTGCTGGCCGTGGCTGCCCTGCTGTGCCTGAGCTCGGGAAGGCAGGAGAGTTTCCTCACCAGGAGTGTCACCAGGGCCAGCCAGGTACAGCCCTGCGCTGCCAGGCAGGGAATGAGCTGCCAGGGGAACCAGCAGCTGCCCTGCTGGCAATCTGCCCTGCTTTGTGTGCTAAACTTAGGGCAACTGCTGTATTTGTTATCAAAAAAATCCCAACAAAAGCCAGTGCGTGTGGTCAGAGTGATAATATATTTCATCCTGCTTTAATGCCCGCTCTCAAGGAAGTGAGATAGGAAGTAGAAAGACACTTCTCTGAGATGGTTCAATCCTGCCCAAGCAGGTTGTAAAAATCATTTGAGTCTCCCAGCCCTGCCCGTGCCTGTCTGGGGTGAGGTTGAAGTGCCTTCCTCACTAACACCACAACGCATCTCAGAAAAATTAAATAAGAATCGGGCCCCAGGGATTTGCAGTTTTGTGGTGTTGCTGCTGTCATCAAGAGGAGAAAGGTGGGGGAGGTTTGAGGATTAAAATAGGGAGAGAATTATAAGTGGTGGCAGATATTTGAGGGAAAGCTCTTTAATGTGTGTACTAATGCTGCAGGCTCTTGTTCAGTAAGAAAGAAGCAGGAATGAAGAGCTTTAAAAGAGGATTAAGAATTGGCATTTTATTGTAAAAACGAGGAATTGGGAAAGCACCAGTTCATTTTTCTGTTTGTTGGGCTGTGTCTGAATGAAAAGGAAAAAATAATGCTGTAATATTTCTGGAAGGTAAAGGATGAGAAAATTATCACTTAAATTGAAAATTATGTTTAATGCTGTTCACAGGAGTTCAGACAGACTTTTTTTTATTACTGGCATTATACTTCCTTTTGGTTTATAGACACACTGTGCAGAGAAATTGATTTTTTTCCCCCATATCTTAATAGCTGCTGCTATGAAGTGTTTAAACAGCAGCAATTAAATTACTGCTGTGGTATGAAGGCACTGTCTGGGGGAATCCAATCAATACTTGTGCCTGGGAAATAAATACATATGAATGTAATCAATATTTTACCTGGGATATGAATACAGGCAATGTTAAATGTAAGGTCACAGTAGAAGATGAATGATTTTAAGATAAGGAGCAATGCAAACCCCAGAGTATCAGAAGGGTCTGAAGATCTTAGAGAGCATCCAGAAAATGGACAGGGGGTAGTGAAGGGCCTGGAGGAGCAGCTGAGGGCACTTGGCATTGGGCTGCAGAGTGCTGAGGTTTCCTGCAGGCTCTTTTCTGCTGGGTTGTGTTTCCTCTTACAGCACACTTGGAAAAAAAATCTTCTTTTTGCAAACACTCATCCCTCGAGCCGCCGAGCTGAGACGCACCAGTTCACACCAAAATATTTAGCATCTTCTCAGCTCCACATATGCTTTTTGCCTCCTGGTCTTTCACATCTGAGGCAAGAAGCTCTCACTGCATATTTTCCCTCTGTGTCAGCTCGAAATAGGCGCAGCCTCTCTAATTGCTGTGTTGCTATAGAGATGTGTCAGCTCAGAGCAGGCANGCTCAGCGCCACACACGCACTGAGGTCCTTCTGGCCTTTTCCTTTCCTAATTAACCTTCTCTCCATCGCACAGAGGAGCGCGGGCACACTAATTGCCGCGCTATCCTGGCTGAGCCTGGCGCTGACCTGAGCCTGCAGATCTGGGGGGAATTAGGAGCTGGAAGGAGGGAAAACAGATTAGTGCCCGTGGAGGGAAATCCTTCAGGCACGGGGCAAATGCGGAGCGACAGCGCCGTGCGGAGCAGGGGACACGCCGGGGACACCTGGGCGAGCCCGGACCTGGGCACAGGTGAGTGAGACACCGAGGTTTGGGGACTGCACGTGGTTTGCTGCAGCGATTTGGGGGTCGAGGGCTTTGGGGCTCACCAGGAGAGGCGTCCCCGGCCAGGCTGCTCCGTGTGTGGGGTCATGGCAGGGGGAGCAGCCGAGCCCCGTTTGCCCACAGAGCCCCCCACGCTGGCAGCGACTGTCCCTTAAGCTGCTATTTCTGATTTTCTCCCCGGCTTCCTCGGCACTGAGGGATCCCAGGGCTTAGCACGCTAAGAGGTTTTAGGGAATTACACGTCCTGCTGCGGCACCGGCGGGAGGGGCGGCTGCATCTCTGCATGGAGCACTCTGTGATCGGCCTCCCCTCGGCTCCGGCACGGGCTGTGCTGCTGGCACTGATGGATGGGCCGGGAAAACCTCCCTGGCACAGCTGGCACAGGTGGCACAGCTGGCACGGGGCTGGGCAAGGACAGCTGTAGGGTTTTCCTCCTGCTCAGGACTTCTGTGGCCATGTCACTGCTTCAGGGGATTGAAACCCACTTCTGCCTGCTCCTTCTGTCCTCTGCAGCTCCTTTCTGGCAGGTTCTCCTGCACAAATCTCCTGAGCATCAATCCCAGGGCCTTGGGGCATCTGTCCTCCCATACTGACACTGACACACACAATTCCTACCAACTCAGGCATCTCTGTTACTATTTCCTGCCCCAACAGTCAAAACCGCAATTAATTCCCCTTTTTTTGTTGTTGTTCAGCCAGTGAGGTAATTGCTTCTTTTCCCTCCATTTTTGAGCACTTTAAACACTGACAGCGAATTTTAATCCTTGAAAGAGCTGAGTTCTGGGATCCTAAGTGAATGGATGTGCCTTCTATTAAGACCTTCTGCCAGACTTTGACCAGACGAGAGTTTCTAAGTGATTTTCACAGTGCTTGCACTGAATGAGCTCCATCCCTCTGAGTCTCAGCCCCTGCCCAGCTGTTGGCTGGCTGGCTGTCCTTGAGCACAGCCTGTCAGGGCACCGAGAGTGGCACGGCTCCCCTGCCAGTCCCAATGTGGTTGCTGTCCCTGCAGCTCCTGGCCTGGCTGTGGCACACCCAGACCCTGCCTGTCCCCCACAAATAAACCCCCTTGTGCCCACCCCAGCCCCTCCTGTGCCACCAGGCTTGCCAGGTGACATCCAGTGACCCAAGCCAAGCTGTTTCTGTACCTGCAGAAATTCTGCTGTCTCTGTAGGATGGGGAAATGGCTTTTTCCCCCCATCCTCCATCAGGACCCAAGTGCCTTGGGCTGCACTCCAGGACAGCTGTGCCCTGGGAGTATTTTGGCTGCATTTCTCCCTCTCATGTCCTGTTCGGTGCACTGGGCTTACCAAGGGAAAAAAGAAAAGAGACTCTTCCTGAAACTCAAGCTCCTCTCCTGCCTCCCACCAAGACGATTCATCTCCTGTTTGGCCGAAGGCCCTGGAGCATCCCTGGAACGCTTACCTGTGCTGTCCGAGCTCCGGCCAGCGGCACAGCGGGACCCGGGGCTGGGCAAANCGGGAACACAAAATCCTGGGTGGAGACAGAAGAGGAGAGGCTCCAAATCCCAAACCTACCGCCACCAGGACATCTCTGTTTCCCCCAGCCAAAGGCAGAGCTCGGAACAAGAGCTGGTGCAGGAGACAGAGCACACGCCACCCAAAGCTGGCAGATGCTCACACAGAGCATCTGGTGACAATTCAAAACAAGTAACAAAACACATTGGTGCAATTCCCAGGTGATTTGGGATTAAGCAGCAACTAGAGAAGAGTGACATTTTGCTAATAAATAGTTCAGCCTGTGGGACAGGGGAGGATGTGAGTCCCCCAAACCTCCGCCCCAGGCTGGGCACCCACCAGGGAGAAGTCCGGGTTCCTCACAGGCAAAATGAGCACAATCCCATTTAATTGGCCAAATTACATCTGCTCGTTCCAGCAGAGCTGTCCCACTTTGCACCAGCCTCTGCTTCAGCCCTGGGCTGAGGAGCTCAGCCCCAAACCCAGACCAGGACCCAGCACTGGCTCAGAGGAGCTCAGACCCAGCCCAGGACCTGGCACTGGCACTGCCCCAGGACTGGCTCAGAGCTGGGGCACAGCAGGGCCCAGACAGGAGAGACCCAACTCACTGCTACAAACAATCCCACCAGAGCAGGCAATACCATTTCTGTGGCTGTTCCTGCAGTGTCCTGCCATCCCCCAGGACAAACCTGCCTTTGGGCACTGCCATGGCACCAAGGAGCAGTGCCCAGCTGGGGTTTCCCTCTGCCAGCAAATCCCACTGGGATTCACGGGGCAGGGATGTGCCCACGCTGTCTGTGGAGGTCAGGCAGGGCCAGGGTGCTGCAGTGCTGCCCTCGTGCCTTCTGCTTCCTCCTCCTCCTCCTCCTGGGGTGCTCCAGGTCAGCCCCAGCTCTGTTTCCTGTTGGACAGGTGCACCTCCACCCCTGAGCCCTGTGCCCACTCCCATGCCCAGTGCCACTGAGGGCACCAGCCCTCCTCTGCAGCAGCTTTGCACTCACCTGGGAGAGCTCAGTCTGCTCGAACACATGGATGTGAATTCAGGGCATTTTCCAGGCCAGGAAAAGTCCCAGATGTTCCAGGCTGCTTCACCTTCACCCCATCCCCAGAGCAGCCTGGCCAGGATGGTGGCAGAGTGGCACTGTGCCCGTCCCCTGCCCTCAGCTTCTGCTCGGGGCTCCTTTTGGCACCTCTCAGCCTGTGCCACACTCCCATCCCACGGCTGCCAGGTGGGTCACTGGGCACCCAGCACTGGGCAGGCAGTCCTGGTCCTGCAGCCCACCCTGCTGGGAGCTGCCTGCCCCTTCCTGCCAGCCCCTGTGCCCCACACGTGTGTCCTGCCACACACAAACATCCTGCCAGCCCCTGTGCCACACACATGTTCTGCCACACACAGACATCCTGCCAGCCCCTGTGCCACACACACATATCCTGCCACAAGCACATGTCCTGCCAGCCCCTGTGCCACACACACATATCCTGCAGGGGACACCGAGCTGCCCTGGCCATTTCCTGTGCCACACACACCCGTGTCCTGCGGGGCACACCGAGCTCCCCCAGCCGGTCCCACCCCGGATGGC